TATACTCGAGTATATACGGTATATCTTCTTTATATGCATTAAGCTTTGATCTCTTATTTGTTTAAACAAATTATCTTCAGCTTGAATAAAACCAATTTTTGATCTATTTTCCACCTGGCCTGTAATTGCCCATACTGAAACCATGTTTGAACTATGTTCTCCTCTTTTAATACCTCCAAAGATTTTAGTTGTAGTACCCCCCTTTCCAAAATGAGAAGCTGTCTATAGGTAGTTCTATCCTGTTTTTGTGCTATGTTCATATTTTCAATTGCATGTCTAGGAATTGCCCACATGGGTATCTTATCATTTAATTTATATTGGTATTATTTCCAGACCCACAGTAAAGCATTTCTTAAAATATGACTTTTAAACTTCTTACACAACTACTTCCATGCCTCAATTAATCTTTGAGACTATCCTACTTGCTCTGTTTTGATGTCTCTCAAAAAGAATTGGCCTTATTAAGACCACACAGATGTGTTAATGAGGTCATCAAGGGTTCAAACTTTGTGAAACCAAGTACCCTTTTTTTAGAGTTCAGATGAGTTTCTCAGACAAGATACTATGATTTTTAAAAAAATCTCCATTCTTTTCATGGTTTCTTAATACAGCACAATATTAAAACTACAGAACTGCAGAGATGCACATTCGTTATGAACAGATAGAGGCATTAACATTTTTGCAATTCCCACTCTGTATTTACTGGAGATCCCTAAATGGAAATTCTCTTGACCTAATTCAGAAACAAGATCTGTACACGGTAACAGCCATGTATATATTTTATGATGCTGATTTGGACCTTAAGCAACTTGATGGAACTCTGCAAGAAAATCCATTCCTATCTGTGGCCAATAGCTCTAAGGAGCAAAAGTATAAATAAAGCAGGCTCAGAATCTTTGTGTTTTTGGAATGTCCGATAATAAGAACTTCCACATCTCCAGATGTTTTGCCTTGTTTCTAAATTAGAAGTGCTTTCCTGGGCTGGAAAGCATTAACGTTCAGGAAATTCCTTTACACACCTTTCCTAACAATTATACCCTTTGCTATTTTGACAGCTGCTTCTCTTGTTGTTCAGAAAGACAGGCCCATTGCAGAGATAGTCCATTTGATACTTTACTATTGTTGGCCATCTTTGTATCTAGGACTGGTACCTGTAAGTAGCTGTCAGTGCTCATTTATCTCTCCTGAATTAATACCATTCTGGCTCCTTTACTATGCTTCTCTCACTGAATCCATATTATTATAAGTGACTTTAAACAAAAATTAGCATTATAAGAAACGTAAGCATGGATCAGGCATCCTGGCATCCTCCAAATACTTGAGACTTTAATATCATGATTCCAAGCTATAATAAAAATGATAAATCTACTCAGAACACCTGGTAGACTGTGTGACAAGAAAGGCAAAAACTCTGGACATTGCAATATCTGGAATTGGCAAAATAGAAGAGAAAGAACAGGACAAAGTAACAAAATGTTTGAAATGTTTATTCCATTTGTATGCCGCCCTATTCCCGAGGGACTCATATAAAGATATGCAAAATAAAATGATTATGGCCCAAGGAAATGCCAATGGTAATAGGTGCTTTGGGTGCAAATCCAAAATATCTGGAGCACCCATTGAACACCATTGGCATTGACAAAAATCATGACTGGTCAATTGCAAGAGGCATTTACATTTTATATTCTGCAACAATACCTTTAAGTCAACAGCCACTTGCCCCGCACACGCCTTTGCTGTGCTTTGGCGCTCGCTTGAGGGGGGGGTCTCCATGTGCGGGCACCCTCCCGGCCCTGCCACAGTCAGCCAGGGGGTCGCAAGAGGAAAAGGAGGAGGGCTGCCCGAAAGGAAGCCTCTGCCACAACTGACAATCAATTTCCAAAAAGAAGAAATAAAAGTCGCAAAGCAGCCCAAGGCGAGCTTTCTGGCTTGGCCCATCCATGCCTTTTCGAAAGGGAGAGAAGAGACTCAGAAAGAGAGAGAGCAAGAGCGAGATACACACGCAGACAGACACAGAGAGATTGGGGGGGGGAGATTGGCTGACAAGTGAGGGCTTACTCCGAGTCTGACACCCGGGATGGGCGTGCGAGATTCGGCAGGGCCAGCTCCCTTTTCCGCTGCCCTGAACCTTTTAAAGCTGTGGCTGGGCGCTGCTGGCCTGTCCCCCTTTTCAACATCTCCCCCGCTCCGATTCCATTCCCACCCCGCCAGCCCTTGTGTGTGAAGGCCGGCGTTGGTCCCAGCCGAGTCAGGCCAGTGTTTCTGGGTGGAAAGCAGGCTGCACGTCCCCCCAAGTGACTGAGGCATGCCCAGCACAAACAAGGGCCAGAAGAAGCTTCACAAAAGTGAGACGCTGGAGAATCAGCCCTGGCTGCTTCTCCATCCCCTTCTCAGGCCAGGTGAGGGAGGGGCGGGGTCAGTCAGTGATGGGACAGGGAGCCTCAGCAGCAGAACCAGCACAAGGAGAGCAGGGCCAGGGAGAAATGAGGGGGAGGAGGAGGAGGAGGAGGAGGAGGAGAAGGCCGAGCTTCTGCTAGGGAGACAAGAAAGTGAGCCAGGTTGCCTCAGTGAGCGCCGCTCTTCCTCTCAGCAGCCGCTTGTGGTTGGCTGGGTTGGTCCGCCCCGCTTCTCCTCCTCCTCTCAGAGGAAAGAGGCAGGGATGCCAGCCTGGGGCTCACTTCCCTTACTGCTTGCTGCCACCACCCATGCCGGATGGAGCGTTGAAAGCCAGGGTGGCTCCGCCCACCCACCCGCTCGCCACTTTCCCTGCTGGCTGCCCAGTTGACCAGACGGTGCCCGGGTTGCAGCCAGCAGGAAGGGAGGGGGCTAGGCTAGTGTGAATGCTGCTTACCTGTGTGTAGATAGGAGGTGGCAGTTCTGTGAATCCACATGGCGAAGGTGAGGGAGAGCTAGTTCCTGGGCGTGGCCAGCCAGTGCAATAAAAATTGCTCTGTGCATGCACAGAAGCAAAAACCAAGATTGCAGTGCCGGGAGAACTGGTTTGGAGCGTGGTTCCAGCGATCCAGGCTGCCAAACCACTACCGGTTCTACAGAACCAGTAGGAACCCACCTCTGGTTCTCACTATCAGAAATTTCGTCTTAGTTCTAAGTTGGATCTCACCTTGATTAGCTTCCATCTATTGCTTTTTGTCCTGCCCTCAGCTGCTTTGGAGAATAAGTTGACCTCCCTCTATTCTGTGGCAGCCCCTCAGATATTAGAAGACCCTTAATGTCATCTCTAGTCCTTCTCTTTGTTATACTAGAGTTCCCCCTTTATCTAGCCAATTGTAATCCATCTGCTGATGGTCCCGTCCATTTCACATTTTTCTATCTTATCAAGAAGAAGGTTGTGGTATACTTTGCCAAATACCTTACTGACGTCCAGTTATACTATGTCCAAAATATTTTGCTGGTCCACTAATTTAGACATTTTGTTAAAGAATGTAAAGGTTTGTCTGGCATGATTTGTTTTTGACAAACCCATATTGACTTCTAATAATAGCTCTGCTTGTTTCTTA